AGCGGTCTCCACCTACGAACGGACCCCAAATTTACCCGATCGATGCACAATCACTCCAGTGAGGTCGAGTTATACTTTTTTTATCATTATAGAGGGGGATCACAAGTTTTGACCGGCCTTGCTCATTCTCAAGCAAAATTCGGTGTTGAGCGCTGGTCTCCCTTCGATGCCATAGCGGCAATAGCAGGACAAGGATTCCGCTCGAACGATTGCCAGAATTGATCGACCCGTTCAGTCTTCTTCCCGTATCATCGATCTTACGGTGATATATAGCGGCGTATTTGGATTCGGATACTCCCCCGTCACCTTCATCCATGGGAGATGACCTGAATTCGAACGGCGCAAAATGCCTACCTCTCGTCCTCTTGCCGAGGAAACGGCCGATTCCAATCATCGAACGGAGGTTCAAAGATAAGCGCGTCCTGAGCTGGAATGGAACGAATTGGATGAACCAGCAGCTAAGCGTCGAATTTCTCACCGGAGTGCTCGGCCGATTCGCCTTCTCGGAAAAACTTTTGGCGTGGGATGCTTTCAGGGCGAACCTAACTCAGAACTAGGCTTTGCAAAAAACCGCAGATTCTCAGAACCGCGGTTGCAGAACCGCTGAGAACCGCAACCTGGGAACCGCGGTTGAAAACCGCAAAAAACCGCAAGTTGCGGTTCCGCGAAAAATTAGCTCTCAGACGACTAATTTCCGCGTATATGATCGATGGAACGCCGCAATTGAAAACTTAGCGGGGTGAACGAAGTCCACTGGGAATAAGGAGACTTCATCTCCTTTGCACAAGAGATGAGCCAATGAATGTCAATAATTCCGGGAGTCCCGAAATCGACAGTCTTCCATGCGATGTAGATTTTCCGCTATGTTCTGGACTTATGCCGGATTTTGACAGCTCGAAGCTCTGTCAGCTGCCAGCCGCATCTCTCCCACAGAGAGTCGGAATCGAATCAGATTGAAGTCTCGCCAGTTTTCGAGGAGTGTTCCAAAACCCGTTCTAATTTTGTTTCTGGTTTTTTAAAATCGTTGTCATGGCCCGCACGAAGTTGCGGTTCTACTCATAGATAGCCAGTGTATTCTGTCTGTGGAATCGGAATGTCATCGATTGAGCAGTTCAGCCTAAGCTTGAGTATCGAGTATCAATTCCGAGTACCAAACAAAGATCAATCCCGATACGAGGAAGAATGAGTCGCAGATGAGAACCTCCATCAGGTATACTCGTTTATTTCTGCAAGGCTCACCGGAACATTGACGTGTATCGAAGGAGTACTCTACGGAGCTCACCTTCGTACAAACGACGCACGGAACCGCGAAAATCTTGCGGTTCTTGCGGGTCCCGCGGTTCCGGAACCGCTGCAAAGCCTACTCAGAACACCCGGAATGCGCTCAAGAGTCTCCGCGTAGACTCCGCTGTGGTCCCGGGAGGGTGCACAAAATACGTGCAGGCGCCTGATGTAATATAGCCCGATCTCTCTGTACACAATTTAACTCACATCTTTTGATTGACGAAAAATGACTGCCTGCGGACGATATTAAGTCGGACGATGGACATGACTCGTAAAATTTCGGTCTCGGATGGAGATCTCACTCAGATCCAGAATAAATGTCCGGTTTTGAAGTCCGGTTTTGTGTCCGGTTTCAGCGAAAAAATGACCAGTTAAATCGCCTCTCTAATAATTGTGGGTCTATATGTTTCGAGTACCCCTTTTTTCGAGTTTGGCTTCTCAAGTAGTGATACTCTGCCGTCTCTCCAATCCACAGGGACGGCTTCGTCGCCATTGAGGATTCGGTTGAACAGTTTGGTTTGCCAGTTCACACCTTTTCCTCTCATATATTTGAGTACTATCGCCGCTATCTGATCGTCTCCGGTCGCAGTTTTTGTCGAAATCTCGCTAAATAGTTTTTCTATCTCGACATCATTCGAAGATATACCTGAGGGCCTACATCGAACCTCCGGCATTCTCTCCCAATCCATTGGTTGTGCCATCAGCATATCGCAACCTACGTCCGTGAGGTGGTGCTCAAGCGGCTCATCGGGTATTTCCCTCCCGTCCCGGCTCTTTACCCGGGTTGGAGACATATCTCCAGAATCTCTCCGCCCTCTCACTCCGGGGTCCGTTCAGAATCTGTCTGCTCAGACTCTCGTAACGTGTCTCTTCTTCCTCATTGACGGCTGCCTTGAGTTTGTTTTGCATACTTCGGGACTCTATCTCAGTCCGATCTATTCCATTTTTGTCCCCATGTTTTCTGGCTTTTCTCCACTTTCGATTAGCTTTCTTTTTCTGCTTGGTCATCTATCGTATGGCCCTCGAGAAGTGTATGTTCTCCTTTTTGGGCTTGATATCTCTAGAGCTTTTGCTAATACTTATGTGTGTAGCCTCTTTTATAACGTCATACTTCGTCTCTCCGCGGGACTCTTCGATTCTCCGTATTATTTTGTTCACCTGAGTCGTCGCTCTTAGCGCATTCATAATTTTCATCCGTCTCACTGCCTGCTTAGGACTTTTTATCGGTAGTCTACAGGTCATGCTGATCAGGTTGTGATCACTCAGCTGAGTCACTTCCCGGTCCTCGTCTGCTTTCATGTATAGACATGTTTCAAGTACCATTACATTACACAGGAGATAGTCTATGGTTGCAGTTTCCCTCGTCAATCGACCGGTGCATGAGTCCGTCGAGTTCAGGATTTCAAGTCTTTGGTTCTTACAGACTTTCAACAATAGCCTTCCCCTGGTATTGTTGTAGTCTGCGAAGAGGTGGGTGTGTGCATTGAAGTCTCCGCCGGTTATCAGTCCTGTCCCATTGCACTTTCCGTTAATCTAATCAAATATTGACTTCAGCTGGTTCCTGTTTGAGGCTATTGATGAGTCAGTTCATCATATTGGAATCACTACCCACTCTTCCGACCCCACTTTGAACTCCGCCGCTATCCAGTCCTACCCAGCTCCAGTCTGTTCCAGTTCGAGGTGATTGGCCGATAGAATACCTACGCCACCGGATGCTGATCGTCCCGATGGCCCGCTCTTGTTATTTCCTAGACAACGGAAACCCTGAATCCTCGGTGGTTTCTCTCTGTTCATAAGCCTAGATTCACTCACCATCAGAATGTCGGTGTGGTCGCTCCTCAGGATTACTTGTCCAACCCACGCCCATTTTCTCTTTTGGGACCGCGCATCAGTGAGATTCAAGATCGCGACTCTCAGGTCGGGCACAGGATGTGTTCTCCCGCCACTCCGTGCCCGCCGTCGACGTTGGCGTCTAGTGTTAGGAGCGCCGGGGTGCTCCTACCGTCCGGATCTGGCCTCCGCCCGGTCGGTCCTCCTTTAGCATTCCAAGAATAGCTTACATGGAATCCGAGGTTTGGGGGCGAAGAATCACACATTGGTTCACTTCCATGAGGAATGGTTGCGATACTCCGTTCCATAATTCCACGTAATTTCTGGTCTGCGACGTGTGACCCCGGGTCTCCTCGAGCTCGCGCCGTTCCCGGTCCGCGTCATTCTGGGCTCGCGTTATTTTAGGCTCGCGTTTTGACGTGGGACACGTCTTTAGGC